CCGCAATGGTGGAAGCCGGCCATTAAACGTGCCATAGGGAAAAGGGCTGGCAGGTGGAAGGCTTTCGTTCTCACACGAGGACATGACTGATGGCTACATTATTAGAAAGCCAGAAACTATGCCGGAAAGCTAGTAAACCAGACGAAAATGGCTTTTGAGGTGAAAACTGCCAAGAGAGCGCGCCAGGAACCCAAGAGGTACTATAGTTATGTACAATCGAAGACTGCATTAAGGTAATCCGTAGGTACTTTGGAGAACCCCGAAGGTGGGTCGTCTGTCTCAGATTATGAAAAATGTGAGACGCTCAAGGGGTATTTCGAAAATGTCTATAAAATAGACGACGGGCTTGCGGTCCCACGAGAGTGCTTAGACACCTCTCCAATGGCTGATGTGGAAGTCTCAGCTAGTTGTGTTCTCAAGGTTTTGGAGAACTTGAATGTGAACAAATCTGCCGGCAGTGACGGGCTACATCCGGCCGTCATCAGGCCACTGGCTCAAGTGCTCGCCCCCGCGATTACCACACTCTATCAGGAGTCCCTTAGGGCTGGGAGAGTACCTAGTGATTGGGCGACAGCCACAGTAGTAGTCATCCACAAGGGTGGAGGAGGGAAACAACCTGGTAACTACAGACCCGTAAGTTTGACCAGCGTGCTGTGTAAGGGCTTAGAAACTATTGTTAGGAATGCTCTCTGTGAGCACGTCTCTCAACGAAAGCTGACTAGCCCTGCCCAGCACGGTTTTCTCAAAAAGAGGTCGTGTCTGAGCAACCTTCTTCGTTTCTTAGACGAAGTTACAAAGAAGTTAGATGGAGGTCAGAAAGTCGAAGTGTACTACCTGGACTTCAGGAATGCTTTCGACTCGGTAAATCACCGACTCCTACTAATGAAGCTCAGGGGTTTTGGTCTCCCAATAGCTCTAATTAGATGGATAGAAGCTTTCCTCACAAACCGGACCTATAGAGTTCGAGTGAGAGAAGCTCTGTCAAACGTTGGTAGCGTATCCATTGGAGTGCCTCAGGGCTCATTGCTAGACCCGATGAGTTTTCTGCTGTTTATAAATGACTTGGTCCAGGAATTAGCGGTTCCTGAATTCATCTTTGCCGACGACGTCAAGCTGGTGAACTCAGGGCCGGTAGCTCAACTGGAAGCTGATCTGACTAAGGTTGTCCGGTGGACAAAGAAATGGGACTTGGAGCTAAACGATACCAAGTGTCACGTTCTAAATACCGTAGGGCTTCCGGCTCGAGTGTCTACGACGACGGAACCGACGGTCTTCGCTCGAGTAGACCGAATACTGGATCTAGGGATTTCGGTCCGCGAGGACTTTAGGCCTAGTGATCGATACCTGGCCGCCGCACAAAAAGCGAGGGGGCAATCGTTCCAGCTCAAGGCGGCCCTTTCGTCACGGAAGGCTGAGGTTTTCCCACCTCTATATAAGGCCATAGTTAGGCCGCAGTTGGAATACTGCGTGCAGGCTTGGTCTCCCTACTTGAAGAAGGATATAAATTGCCTCAAGAGGGTGCAACGGTTAGCTACTAGAATGATCGCGGGAATGAGGGGTAAGTCATATAAGGAGAGGTTAGAATCTTTAGGGATTTTCTCCATGGAGAGGAGACGTCTGAGAGGCGACATGATTCAAACCTTCAAAATATTGAAGGGACCGACTGGGCTAGAAGCCGAAAGCCTGTTTACCCGAGCACCGCTCGAGTCAACCAGAGGGCATCATTTCAGGTTAAGGAAGCCCAGGAGCCGAATTAACCTTAGGTATAACTTCGTTACGAGGAGAGTGATGGATGATTGGAATCAGCTACCATCTTCACTAATAGACTGTAGGACAGTCGACGAGTTCAAAAGGCAAGCTAGATGGGGTCTGGACGACCCTGTATCCAGAGATCTCGCAGGGTACCTGCTATTGAAAGTTGGTGTCCATGCTGCCCATTTTCAAATAACCTCGCTTAGCAGGTACGGACGCGCCAAGGGAGCCAGTTCGAAACAAAGAAATCGGCTGTGATCAAAGGGTCGACAAGAAGTCGAAGCTCCGAAAGACGTGTTTCCGACTGGAGCACGAATCTGGACGCTCGATAGGCGAAAG